AACTATGCCCAGGGAAAGGCGTGTCAGTATCGTACTTAAAAACTCATTTGTTACTTGGCGTTGCGGAGGAAATCTTCCATAGAACATTTCTTATGGTCAAAAGTGTTATAATCAATCTGCATCGTGCTATTAGCATAAAAGGTCCGTGTTCCTACTAAATCAAGATTGCTAAATATTCCACCTATTAAAAGTTAACTAACCACAATACTCAAAATGCAATCAAATCGTTCGATTAAAAAACTTTCAAACAATAGACCATTTTACTCAACGGAGGAGCATTTTCAAGCTTAAGGTATTTTCAAGCAGAGCCCAATCAGCAAATAAACAATAGGTGGGAGAATACAGCCTCACAGTGAACATGTATTGAATTAAAGAAAGCGATAAATCTGATCGAAGCCGAGTGGGAGGGGGCGCATGCATAAGGAATTGAACCGTAGGACTTGTCAGGTGACAATCGACGGACGGCGAGTATGCAAACCAGCACGTCGCTACACACAATGGACCCTGACAACCTCCGCTGTTCATTACTGCGACTGGCGACTGACGGAGGCGGAGCCAGATCCCCGATACCCGGATAATTTCCTTTTTCGAAAATTCCTCGGGCAGATATTGTCCGAGATAAGCCGGCCGGCCAGATGCCCACCGTCCCAGCCGCGCCGCGTCGTCCGATTTGTATTTTAGAACCGTGAATTCGCTCAAACTGGTTTTGCTTCATCGCCTCCTCGGATGATTCTAATTTTTGGATTCAGCGGATTTATCTGAGGTAATTATACGTGTGAGCCATGAGCCGCTGATTTCAGATAGTGAAGTTTTACGAGACCTGGAGGGAGCGAGTGTTGTGTTGTGGTAGGAGTGTCGCCCGAACAGCTCGCAATGTTGACTATTAATCAATATTATGATAATCATGAGCAGCAGTCATAAATATTTAGGGAGTTAAATGTGCTGATGCCAGAAGTCACCTAAAATTTAAAATAGTAATTAATCGTTAAACAGTTAGTATAACATCGGAAGACTAGGGTTGTTTATTCAAGTACTGTACCGGTAAGCAATAGTGGGCAACTAACGTCACTCACAGTCGCAGTAGAAGTGGGTTGAGGACACGTCCACATTGACATCGCCGCTAGTTTACTCTGCTCGGTTCCGTATCACGAATTTCAATTCATACAGTTATTGTCGGTGATTCCCATAGCGTGTCATATCAAAGCCTAATCGCAAAAGTTAGGCTTATTTTCCGTTCGTTTGGAGCGTGACTCGGACAAATCACCGACTTCCTGCACGTAGCTCTGCTCTGCAACCGCCTCCTCTGACCTCCGCTGGACGACAATGTATGTACTGTATATGACATTCGGTGAAATACTCACGAATGAACGTCAGATAGTATTATTAATACGATAGTTCCTGACAAAACTTGGGCTCTCATTTCCCATCATCCACCAAAATATGATAAAGTAGTTTGCATATTGTTTGTCTAGTTAGGTTTTAACACATAAACTGTTGTCGGTATTCTAAAGTTACTGTAAATTATATCACACAGTGTCTCCTTAAAACTCCCTTAAAAGATATTTATTTATTTATACATGCTAATGGCTTAGCCAATTTATAGATTATTATAATTCTGCTAATTCATGGTTTCATAAAATTGTTTTTATGTTAACTTCTGTAGACCAATTAGTAAAATAAAACTACTATTACTTAAGTTATTTGTATAGTATTGCAATTTCAGGTATTAATTAGGTAATTGTAATGGTCTTATCCGTTGGAAAGTGAAATGAAATATAATATCTCAAACACACAGAGAATATCATCTCCAACCCTGATGATCTCCCGCGGCCAGCAGGGTCCCTGTGACATACAAGGCTGACTCAGTCACTGATCACAGCGACGTCGTCCGATGCCATCTCTCGCAGTCAGCGTCATAAACACTAGTGTCAGGCAATCTCACAGTCAGGCTATGCGCAAAACTGAGGCTGTGTAAGGTATATCAGCTCATTTAAATATATCGTAATAAAACGCTAAGAAATAAAATAGGTCTTTTTATCCAAGAACTAAGTGACCATGCAGATTTTTAATCCACTCATCTTTTGTCTATAGTTTCGTTTTTGCTGCTGCCAAGTTGGACAAAAGTAGTTTCCCAGTGAAAGCATAATAGTGTTGTCCGCAGCCCCCACTCGTCTGATAGAAACTCTTAACTGACGCAATCTTCAAGTTGCATTCGATCTCCAGTAAATGGTACTCGGTATCTGGAATGTTGTGTTGGTATGTCTATCTAATAGACAGCCAACGGTCTGGCTATGATGACGTGTCAGTCTCTTTACCTTTTTGTCGGACCGCCAGATATTATCTCGAGTGATCCGGTTCATTAGAGTCACCACTTTTTGACTCCGCTATTGTTCCTCTAAGACATTCTTCTAATTGAACGCCATTTGAAATATAAATGGCGGCCATTAACTCCGGATCGCACGGCTCTATTCCGTGTTCTCGGATGTAATTGGTACGGTGAGCTTCCTCATCGAGCGCGTTCCAGTTTTCAACGTACTCTGGAAGTCGTCTCTTGTTAAATCCAACTCGATTTATTAACATCCCCGCTGGTTCTAGTTTCTCGTTTGGGAAACGTGTAGCCGATAAAAGAGCTCCGAGTCGGGGAATATCAATAATGTATTTATTTGACTCGACCGATAAAACAAAACTTGTTCACACGATGTTCTCGGCTTGTTCCGGCCGCAGCATTTGTCTTGTGAGCCGATTTGAAATTGAAATCGCGTAAGTACTTGTAGTCCGGTCAGAAACTGCAAAATCTCCACTCCGTTGTCCGTGTCGTCGCTATCCGAAACATGAGACAGTTACTGTACTAATTGTAAACATATGACAATAAGTACTTGTAGTCCGGTCAGAAATTGCGAAATCTCCACTCCGTTGTCCGTGTCGTCGCTATCCGAAACATGAGACAGTTACTGTACTAATTGTAAACATATGACAATAAGTACTTGTAGTCCGGTCAGAAATTGCGAAATCTCCACTCCGTTGTCCGTGTCGTCGCTGTCCGAAACATGAGACAGTTACTGTACTAATTGTAAACATATGACAATAAGTACTTATAGTCCGGTCAGAAATTGCGAAATATCCACTCCGTTGTCCGTGTCGTCGCTGTCCGAAACATGAGACAGTTACTGTACTAATTGTAAACATATGACAATAAGTACTTATAGTCCGGTCAGAAATTGCGAAATATCCACTCCGTTGTCCGTGTCGTCGCTGTCCGAAACATGAGACAGTTACTGTACTAATTGTAAACATATGACAATAAGTACTTATAGTCCGGTCAGAAATTGCGAAATATCCACTCCGTTGTCCGTGTCGTCGCTGTCCGAAACATGAGACAGTTACTGTACTAATTGTAAACATAATATGACAGTAAGTACTTCATCTGTGAACATTTTTAGACAGCGTACATTTGATCTTGTTTCAACCATTGTTTGTTATAGCTGTTATTATAATGTTAGTTAACATATAGTTATAAGATATTGGCCTGTATTAATATGTACCATATACTGTAATAGTAATTTAATATAAATACTTACTACAAAAACTTCTTTGTCTTGTTGCTGTTGTCTTGTTTGTCTGATTTGTTGTAAAACCAAATTTAATGTAATTTTTATTGCAACGTATTGTGCGTTATTTTTATTTATTAAAATACACTACATAATGCCAACTTCTGAACGCAGGCAGGTAAATTGTCAAAAGATACATCTAGTATGGAATAAAAACAACACTATAAAAAAAGTTAAGTTATAAGAAAAATTTACAAAGTTATATCAATATCAAAAAGTTATGTATACTACAATCAGGCTGATAAAAATTCCTAAATGCTGTAAAAACAATTGTCTAACAGGTAACACATTAAGTGTAACAGGAACTTTTTAAATGATCCCAACTCTTTCAGTGATAAAGGAGGCCAATATAAATAGTACTCTTTTTATAAGTAGCAGATTTAAGTATGGCGTATTGCAACACAGAGCTCATGGGCCTAAAGCTGTATTGGGAGTAAGTTATTTTTTATTCAAAAATAGCAAAATGTTTTTTGACAAAGATTAAAGTGTTGAATATACAGTATACAAAGAGGGCACAGGTAAAATCTTCATTCTTTTAAATAAATTTCTACAAGATGTTCTTGGAATAACTTTTGCGTTGACTCTTAAAATTCTCTTTTGTATTTTAAATTATTTTACTATCTGTGACATTTCCCCAGAACATTGAGTGTTCCCTTAGCCAATGTTAGATTGCAAGGGTACAAAGTATACCATTATCTGAGTTCTTTCATAAATTGTTTTGGAAAGCACTAAAGTACTGTGAAATGCGGCTTTAAACTTTGATTCGAATCGATTTATTTGATTTAGACCATGTTAGAGTTGAGTCTAATTTTATTCCTATTCCTATTGAATTTGACTTAATATGCCTTCTAAAGGATATTAGTCAATCTGTCTACTTTTTATGCTGTTAGAATGGAAGTTCACACAATATGTTTAATTTCTGTTTGAGATTATTGGCTAGAAACCATTCAGTGACAAGATCCAACTCATTTTTAATTTCAATTTCATTTTTTTAAGTCAGGATCCTTATTTTTTAATACTGCATTAGTATCATCAGCATACATTACCAATTTTGAATTAAAATTTTGTTTAAAGAGATCAAGATAAAAGAGAAACAAGAATGGACCCCTGAGGAACACCTCCAGTGACATTTTTAAGTTTGAATAGTTAAAATAATTCAGTTGAACTTTTTTAGTGAATTTCTCATTTAGGGAATAAGCTATTAGTACTCATGGTAAGACCTGGACCCGGGACCGATTTACTTTTTCGTTTTGAGGTCCCTAGAGGCCAAAACACCATCCGTTCAAATTAATATATAATTTAATAATATATATATGTCCGTTAGCACGATAACTCGAGCAAAAATGATCCGATTTTGTCCATAGTCAACGGTATGATGTCATGTAGGTAATGTCATGTAGGTGATGTCATGGTGGGGATGAGGTAAACAGCTGGGGGCTTGTATCTGTAGTCAATGGTATGATACACACTGTTCAGGCTACATGTAGGGTCTGGTGGGATGAGGTAAACAGCTGGGGGCTTGTATCTGTAGTCAATGGTATGATGCACACTGCTCAGGCTACATGTAGGGTCTGGTGGGATGAGGTAAACAGCTGGGGGCTTGTATCTGTAGTCAATGGTATGATACACACTGTTCAGGCTACATGTAGGGTCTGGTGGGATGAGGTAAACAGCTGGGGGCTTGTATCTGTAGTCAATGGTATGATACACACTGTTCAGGCTACATGTAGGGTCTGGTGGGGATGAGGTAAACAGCTGGGGGCTTGTATCTGTAGTCAATGGTATGATACACACTGTTCAGGCTACATGTAGGGTCTGGTGGGGATGAGGTAAACAGCTGGGGGCTTGTATCTGTAGTCAATGGTATGATACACACTGTTCAGGCTACATGTAGGGTCTGGTGGGATGAGGTAAACAGCTGGGGGCTTGTATCTGTAGTCAATGGTATGATACACACTGTTCAGGCTACATGTAGGGTCTGGTGGGATGAGGTAAACAGCTGGGGGCTTGTATCTGTAGTCAATGGTATGATACACACTGTTCAGGCTACATGTAGGGTCTGGTGGGGATGAGGTAAACAGCTGGGGGCTTGTATCTGTAGTCAATGGTATGATACACACTGTTCAGGCTACATGTAGGGTCTGGTGGGATGAGGTAAACAGCTGGGGGCTTGTATCTGTAGTCAATGGTATGATACACACTGTTCAGGCTACATGTAGGGTCTGGTGGGATGAGGTAAACAGCTGGGGGCTTGTATCTGTAGTCAATGGTATGATACACACTGTTCAGGCTACATGTAGGGTCTGGTGGGATGAGATAAACAGCTGGGGGCTTGTATCTGTAGTCAATGGTATGATACACACTGTTCAGGCTACATGTAGGGTCTGGTGGGGATGAGGTAAACAGCTGGGGGGGGGCTTGTATCTGTAGTCAATGGTATGATACACACTGTTCAGGCTACATGTAGGGTCTGGTGGGGATGAGGTAAACAGCTGGGGGCTTGTATCTGTAGTCAATGGTATGATGCACACTGCTCAGGCTACATGTAGGGTCTGGTGGGATGAGGTAAACAGCTGGGGGCTTGTATCTGTAGTCAATGGTATGATACACACTGTTCAGGCTACATGTAGGGTCTGGTGGGATGAGGTAAACAGCTGGGGGCTTGTATCTGTAGTCAATGGTATGATGCACACTGCTCAGGCTACATGTAGGGTCTGGTGGGGATGAGGTAAACAGCTGGGGGGCGAAGCTGAGCAACTGATGGTCCAGGAGCCGAATGGTGGCCACTGTAAAATAGGCCAATAAAGATAATGGCAGTAATAGCAGCAATCCAGCCCAGACCCTCCCCTCTCTCGTGTCCTTCTCAGAGCCGAGACTTTTATAATTACGACATAAACTAGGTAATTGTTCCTCTGCCCGTTCCCGTTTAAACTATTATTATGATTGTACGGAGGATCCGTCTAAATTACAGATCTCACGTTAGTCGTTGCCGTACAGTTCCCGCCTCGCTAATTGGAGTAATTTAAGGAATAATACTTTTCCGATCCACGCAATTAAAATAATTGGCGCTTCGCGTTTCCTTTTTTTACCCGGTAGCATGATGTATCGGTCGGCGGTTAGCGCCGGCGCGGAGTCATTTTACATTTAAATTGTTTTAATCGTTGATAATTACTGGAACTGAACAGGTTTTAACTATTTTCAACAAAAATGCTAATAATTCCTGAAGGAGATTCAGACGTGTACAAGGGGTGACTATGTGAAACGAGTTTGAAATAAATAATTGTTATATTGTTGATATCTATACTATTATAAAGAAGAGGTGGTGTCTGTGTGTTTGTATGAGCTAATCTCAAAAACTACTGAACCTACTGGGCTCAAATTGCACACAAATGAAGCTACAGTTCCGGGGATACATATAGAACTATTCCCACTTCGATATTGTCCTAGGGCTCTGCCCAGTGGGCATTCAAAAATTTGAGGTGAGAGATTTAAAAGTAAATATTGATTGATGGTATCCATGGTAACAAAGAACAAACCTACAAAGTTTAAAAATTTAAACAAGCAGAACTAACTGTCAAATGAATTTTGATTTCACAATTCCATACAGCTGGTTCAAACATATTAAATACTGCACAAATATTAGAACAGAGAAGGTAAGGATTATAAATTTAAAATAATGATGTCACTAGCCCGAATGTAAACATTATTTAACATCACTTAAATGAAGCTGTCAAACCATATGTTAATGTGATTTCATTAGTGTATGATTCCATAGACTAAGCAAAGAAGAACTAGAAGACCAAATTACCTTAAACCGTGTCCTCTCCCGTAACTGCAATAATCATTTTATACTTCTATACCAACCCCGTACGAAGGACGGGTACTCTGCTAGTTTTAATATAACATATCAATTTGAATAAAATAAAAGCGTAGATTTAAAAGTAATTTGGAGTTATGAACAACGAACTATATACAGTTTCAGGGATTTTAATATTTTTAATTAAGATTCTTCTTCGTATAAACACGATCAAGTCGATAGTGCACAGAATATTTTTTAAGCGTTTTGTTGTGAATCTTTGATTCAATCTTATTAGATAAGATAGTCCATAAAATTTCTATATTAATACTTTAAGATGCACTCATATCGAGAATCTTCCCTTAAATACAACAGACGCTGACAGTTTTATTTTCTAAAATGTAAAAACAACTCTGAACAAGAATGTAAATTTTCAAACACGTTTTCGTACTTTACGCTTTTGTTAAAGGTATAATTGTAGAAAACTAAACGTGTGTGCCATAGGTTCACTGTATCTTAATGTACTGTTACTACAGTACGTCTAATCGTTATCCTACTTTTCGATTTTGTATAGTGAAACTCAGTTCAAATGATTGTTTATTTACTGACAATCTTTAATGTTATATGTTTTGTTAACTTTTTATTTCATTTATTGTATACAATAAGACTTGATACAAGGACACCGATAGAAACAAAAGAGTATTTAATCCGAATACATTGTGGGACAGTTACTTCACATATGATAGAATCGAAAGATTCGAAATTCATTAAAAGGAGTAAAAAAAAAAAAAAAAACAACTGTTGAGTAGCTGAGAAAGCTGGGTGTGTATAGATGCTTGCCTAGCAATCTTCGGTCCTATCTGGAGAAAAGTGTGTACCTCTTTATTGGCTGGAAACTGTAATTGTTCATTGGTTGGCTTATATCGCTACAGAAACAGCTGATCTCAGTCAGTAACAAAGCTATATGGGTCTTCACACTCACACACTATTCTACACTCTTCTTGCACTATAAATAATATGCATATAATAAATATGTAATAAATATGTATAATAAATATGTAATAAACATGCATAATAAATATGCAGTTTAATATAGCACTTATATGGCCATGCCGTCTTAAAAGTCTATAAGATAACAATGCTCATCAGTAGGCGAAAATGATGCAAGTTCTTAAACGATTATCAATATATTATGAAATAAGTATAAATGATTGTTGGAAATGTTGATGGCCGAGGTGTTGATATTTATGCCGCTCGCCTGCGTATAATTTGTCTCCCCAGCTCTGGACAGCGGACAGTTTGGCAGCCGAGCATTCCTGCTGACATTGTCTTGTCATTTCTGACGGCGACGGCAGCCTTCAGCTTGGCGGTATCTCACAGTTAGGCGCGTCTGCTAGGTAAAGGCTAAATTCACATTCATTGATTTCAGTATCTCTTCAACTTAAATCTGTTGGGTCAGCGTAATGTTGGTTTGGTTTTAAACCTAATTTAAAACACAACTAGTTGGCGATTGAACATAAACAGAGTTCCGCCGATGAGCGAGAGATTTAATTCTTAAAATATACGAAACTTTTAAAATAAATATAAATACAAGGTCAGAAGAAATACAAATAAGAAATACAACTATTACTATAAATAATAATAATCAAAATAAATTTACAAAATTCAATCAAGTACTTTTAAAAGAGGATTGCAAGCTCCTCCTTGTTCTAATTTAAATTTCCATTCTTTCTGTTATGTTTTTGCAAACTGAACTCAGAGTCATTGGTCTTAGTTTAAAAAAATTGTATTTAAAAAAATCGCCTATTATAAAGTTTTCTTACGTCTTAGGCAATTTGTAAAAAATAAGTATTTTATATATGTAGTTTCTTATAAAAACTTACTAAAATAGCAAAATATATGTAGAATCTTGTTGAAACTGAACTGGCTTTATACAGAAAGATTCCATCTACGATATCATGTTGTACAAAAAGAATTGTCAATATAATTGTAGTCCGTTGATGGTTTGATACAGTGTAATCGATTGTTGGCCGGTGACACGGTGATCAACCGACCGTACGACTTGTCACATGAATAACATGAAATATGTCGTTCCTTATGAACCGTATGGCAATGTGCGCTATACAGTATTACTTGCAGTTGCAGTATGCATTCCATTTTGATGTCATTATGTTTTGTGACAGATGAATACAATTTCGTAAGTTCACAAAGTAAATGTTTAAGCAATTAATTCTTAATGAAAGTACGTATGAAAAGTGAACAGTTCAAGTTCAAGTGATTAAGTAGCAGCAAGGCCCGAGCTAAGGCAAAGGTGTATGTTGGATATAATGTGAGATCTGCAGAGATGTGTAATGTGCCCAGCTCCATGTACCAGGTGTCTGCTACAGAGGAACATGGTGATCCTACCGTGCGTCTGTTATCAGAACGTAGAACGTCGCCCGCACCGAGCTTCAGAACTGGTTGTATCCGATCTTTAAGATCTTGTCTCGCCCGTGTCGAGCCCCCCGAACCCGAAGTTATGAAGAGAAAAAACTCCGGACAAAAAAAAAGAAAAGGCGCACAAAAAAGACAAAAAGCGAGATACATCTCCGGCCGCCGTAATATATTTCTCGGTGGTGTTTTTTGTTGTTGTTTTCGATTTGAGGAATCCCGACTTGCATCAAACACCGAGCCCGGAATCCGGGCGATTCAAATGAGCCCCGCGATCCCAATCTGGGCCCGACAACTGTAATTAAACGAAGGAGACTGTACCCGGTACTGCTATCGGGTAATTGCAAGCGGGATGCTTACATTGTTCTTTGTCATGCTAATTTATCCGTTTGTTCTGTTGTAAAAGCGTTGTCCCGGTTATCGCGTCCCATCAGCGAGTCCTTGTAATGCATGCATTTACCTCGATGATTCATGTTCCTTCCTAATTAAGACTGCGAATGCCTAATATTACTTGTAGCCGCCGGCTTCGTTTACTCTAGACACTATCGCGCTCATTTGTCGTAGAATATTTACATACGTGTGAATTAATTATGTTTGAAAGAATTAAAACTACGAGGAAGGCTGGTAATTAAGTGGATTCTCCAGAAGAGTGTTCCACCACCTTTGCGTAAAAGCTTAACAGCATCTTGGCGACGTCGTAACTGTTATGATACAATCGGTAATCCCAAATTTTATAAGGCCTGTTCCTTTAAAAAACATTCCTTAGACTTACACGTGAATATTAAGATGCACATGTTTATAATTTTTCTTACGAAATTGTTTGTCTAAGTGTTGTGTTTGAATGCAAATCTGTGTACAATTTGTTTGCACAGTTGCAGTTTTATACAAGGTATAGACTACCTCGGTGCACTACTTTGCTGGACTTTACCCAAAGTAAAATAAGAAACTGCGTTTGCTCATTAGTTTTTATCACAAAATAATAACATTAAAACTCATGTAAGGACTCTCATGTTGGTGCGTGTTTCTACGTATAGGCTATATATAGGGCGTACAACACTTAACTTCAACCAGGGATCTATTAACAGGGATCATTAATTTTGAGAAACTATTACAGAATCGAATATTTTAAAGGTCTTCAGCCTTACCTAAAGATTGGTGGAGAATTCCTAATTACAAGAATTTACTGCATTGCTCTGGTGTTTTGTAGTATTTATATAGTTATATTTTGATTGCTTATTTATAAATACAGTATACAAATATCGTGTTTCTAAAACTGAGTTCACAAATTAAAATTAATTTTGGGATTTAAAAAACATAAATACTACTTGTCTACAATATTTTCTTTTCATTACAGTAGTTCTTAACAGTCAAACTTAACTAATTGATCTAAGACTATACGTAAAATATTATTATTTGCAAGATTACTAACTAAAGCGTTCGTCGGTTTTGTAGTTTTACATCTAAGGGTAAAGTCTACAGTTTGTATTATTGTATTAATAATTACAAGTTGTCATTGTGTTTTCACATAACAGCCGTCGATATATTTAAGTTTATTAACTGCTTACTGTGTAAAACAAATTACAATCTACAAGATAATTAATACAAATTGTATCTGTATATGTAGTAATACAACTTACAAAATCATAAAGTTCGTCATTGAAAATAAAATTATAATAAAAGCATAGTTAACTGAAAGTTGAGAATGTTTTAACTGGTATGGAAATGCTGTTATTACCCACACTTGATGAGAGTTACAATGTACTATATTAGAGAAAAATAGTTGTACAGAGTTTTGAAACAAAAGGATTTAAAACTACTGTACTCGGTACTGCTATAGGGTAATTGCAAGCGGGATGCTTACATTGTAAGCAACTAAAACATCCATTTCTATTGTTCAAATAATAATATAAATTGACTTTTGAAGTAAGGCGAATAAATTACTGGGTTGTACTTTTTCACATCTTTTAACAAACAAAGGCTTAACGTACAAGGATGAAATAAAATCAGTGTGTATTTTGCTGTCCAATAAATTGGATGATTATTTATAATACATTTTATGAAAAGTTACTAAGTTAATCAAAGTTTATAGATAAAAAATATTACTAATTACTTTAAATATTAGGTTCATGATGTACATTTTAAGGACTGGATTGGCACAATCGATCATATTATGGTCAAAATATTTTTTTATTTATATATAATAAACAAACCAGTTGATACATTTTTGGATTTTGAAATAAAATTATTATGTCCATTTGATAGTCTATTCTTTAAATTAATTGCTATTAACCTTGCAATAAGTTAAAAAATATCATGCATAGGTTATAACCGAAATGTATATTATTGTTTGCTTAAAATGTTGGGTTTGAGAAAATATATGCCTTTATAAAACTGGATGGATACCAACTTTTCTATAAACCATTATTTCGAATGTTTACATTAGTTTAATTGTGATGAATGCAATAGCTATTTCTAGATTGTGTACTTGTACTACTCACTTCTATTAATTCGCCAATACACAGACAACCCCACGTCAGTTGAAGCACATGTCGTGTTCAGTTACAGCTGTGGTAAAGATGTTCTATTTTAATTATTACAAGAGTCCTGGCAGTCGGAAATCCTCGCCCCATCCGCCGCCAGGTAGATAATGGAATTTTGGACTTATAATTATCTTTTTCAGGAGGGAGGGAGGGTGTCTTGGACTGAGTTATAATAACCAGCTTAGGGCAGCAATTAACTTCCCGAACTTCAATCCTTTTTGTGAACTCCAGTTCGACTCTTATCGGCCCCTAGGAATATTTATTCCGAGTTTTATCTTCGTTTCGCTCCCGAGTCTTGCGATTAATGCTTTTTTCTCCAAACTTTCTCCAAGATATTTAAAAAGCAATTATTCAACCTGATTAAGTCTCTGCCTCCCTAGTTGCTTTGAATGATATGTGTTTAATGTTGAAGGTAATTGTGTAAGAAGATTTGTTTTCGGAAGGACATTACCGACCTTGTAATGAAGAACAACTCTTAACAGTATATAGTATAAGCAATACATGGGTTTCCTGCTGAAGAATCTGAAGAACTTCCAGTGTGACTAAATGCTCATTAAACTCAATAAACGTCTGCTAAACAATACAAAGACAAAAACATAATATAGAATCGGCTTTAAAAATTGTAGTAAGGTTAATAGTAGGTTTAAAGAGAAAATGTGAAACCTACATATTTATTGATTAACAAAAAATGTTAAATAGCGACTTGAACATAGATTATCTGATGATTGTGACAATGTCATTCTGGGCTAAATTAAGAATCCCATGTAAGGAGTTGTTGGTGAGGTCTTTCCAGAGAGTATATCAAATTCAAATGACTAGGCTATTTCTTACACTAAAATCAACGATCTTTAAATTATTCACTTTGTAAATGAACACACATTAGAACCCCGAGGTTTTCTAGAGGGTTATTCATGATTGAAACTAGAGAGTCAGTCGTACACTGAAAATAACACAAAGTCCGTCATTTTTACTCCAAAACAGTCAAACCGAAAACAACCAATAATACTTTAAAAGAATTTTACTCTGAACAGAACACAGAATTCTGAACTAAACTATAGCAATATAGAACAGCTCTAAATCAATTATGTTATGAAAATATGACTATCACCACTTCTAACCATATGTAACCGAAATTAAGCAGTACTTTTATTAAAATTGGATGACGTAAATAAGTTGTGGCTTAACACTTAGAAAGTAAATATAATTAAATCAAGTGTCTGTACAACACTAGACGTTTGTTTGTTTTTGTTTTGTTTTGTAACAAAAACAGTTGTGGCTAATGTAACCGCCTTTAAAACGTTATTACATATTAAGGATGGAAATTTAATTTCAATGAATTTTGATTCTAAATTTCTAGCATTAATATA